AGTTCACCTAAATGGAGTTAAAGCATCTTTCTTTTGAAAGGCCATACTAGAATGGTCTTTGCAATTGAGGATCTGCTCTGTATTTGTCTGACAGTAACAACAGATTCCCAACTGTGGAGGGTGATCTGCCATTTGTTAGCTTGTAACAGTCTTAAAAAGCCAAACTAAAACACACTCCTCCCATTGACCCAAAACAACTTAAAAGAGGACTGCTTATCAGGCTTCTGACCCAAGCTAGAATCTGCTGAGTTGAGATACGCTCAGGACCACTGCATTCACATAGAAAAGATGTGTCAATGCATCTAACAGAAGGGGGAAAAAAAAGGAAGAAAAAAAGAGAAACCCAAACCAAACCACTTCTATGAAGCTTCAGGAAAAAGAGATTATTAAAAAGCATGCGAACAAGAGTGCCTTCAGAGAGACAGATGGGGGGGAAAAGGAAACCACTAAAGCTCCAAATACAGCAAATGAAAAGAATGAGAGAAAAGAAAGATTTTATTAATAAATATTTATTAATAGGCAATTATTTGAGAGTCACATTATCCCTGAGGCAGTAAAATGGTTCATTAATTCTAATCTAGTTATCATGTTCTACTTGTGGCAACATCCAGGTTCATCCAGCCACCTCTGGTGGCTTCATCTTCAGTTTCCTGTTGAATCTATAGGTGAAATAATTCCTGAGTTAAAAGAAACAACCCACAGCTCAGCTTACCTGACTTTGACATAGTCTGAGAGAAGCCATCTGTAAATAGCTTTTGTGGCATGAGTCATAAACGTCCTTCCTTTAAAACTTGTTTTCTGTAAAAACCACGGTAAAGCCCCACAGTGATCTAAATGGAAACTTTAAAATAGACACATGAATCCAATTAATACATTAGCATCACACAACACTAATACATATCATATAATTCACTACTTCGCTGGGTTAACACGGAATCATGAAAATCCAGAAGCAGAATTCTCAACTCTGTTGTTAACTGTGCTGGTCTACATTCTGTACACTAGTGACAAGACGTGCAGACAGGAAGGCCTAAGAGTAATAGAGGAAATTCCCCATTAATGGCAAACGTTTTACCCAAATAATTTCAGAATTAACCTTTTTGTAATCTACATATAAATTTAGAGGGAGAAAACCAAGAGGAACCAGGAACATTATAAATGTCAAATATAAGAAAGCTAACAAATGCAATCTTAAGTTTGCATGTTGGACACTATAGATTAAAATGCTAACTACTTAAACAAAATTATTTGGCCACTTTAAGTCTGACCTATTTTAAGGAAGTACTTTTGAAACAGAAGTCAAACAAGCACATACCATGAAAGCTCAGGATTTTATAGAGACCTGGTTATGACTGGTTAAATCATTTAGAAATGCTCTGCTTGTCTCTCAGCCACTAAGCAAAATTTAAACACATTCAAAGCTTGCCCAAGTGTCCAATAACGTTCTTCATTCAAAGCCAATGGAGCAAAAACCACAACCAATACTTTTCATCAGTCTTCATGTGGAAGACTCCTGGAAGCTGTCACAATGGTGTTAAAGCAGGCCAGGTTATAGAAGTCAGACATCACAGCGAGCTCACAGGAGAGTTCTAATGTCAAGAACTCAACATCCTCAATTTTAAAAGAGCTGGAAACTAAAATTTCGCCATGCCATTACCATCTATATGACACCTCTTTTCAGCCTCTCAGTGAACACAGCTCCAACCACAACCTCAGTTACTTGATCTTTCAGGTGCAACTTACTGACTAATTAAGAGGAGATCAATCTCAGCGGGATCTATTAAATCAATGTAAGGAAGAGCATCCATTCCTTCCAGTCCAGGATGGATTCCACAATCAAGCTGAAAAATGAAAGGAAGTTAAAGCTTCTAACAGAACATGCAAGAAACCCTCTTCCAGTTTGGTCTAAAATATAGTTCCTAGTGACTTTAGCATCATGCAAAAAGTATTCTTTCCTTAACCACTGCTTTTAGCACCGGATTTCACATCTTGGGCTTCTGTCTAAATGACTCATCTCTACTAGGACACTGAAAATTTCTCAAAAGATCCCAGTCTTTGATTATAATTTAGCACCTATGCAAGCCTTCACTTACACTTCAGCAACACCGGTAATAATACAGGTAATAATAGTCAGAATGTCCAAGTTATTCCAGCCACCATATGAGAAGACAGATGGAAAAGAGGAAGAGAACAGCTATGTGTTTATATGTGACTGTTTACACATAACTGTTGGTAAACATTAGCCCGAGGTTCCACTGAAACCTAACATGTGTACATTTTTGTGGGTTTTTTTTTTCCACAGTGACAGCAATCAGCCATTGGAATAATATTCCCAGGCGATTCTCTAACATTGGACACTTTAAAGACCCAGGTGGACAGGGTGCTGGGACATCTAGTCTAGGTCATGCTTTGCCTAGAAAGGTTGTACCAGATGATCCCCAAAGTCCCTTCCAACCTGGTATTCTGTGATTTAGAATCCACACTTTAGACACACACATGCTGTTTGAGGATATGTAGTTGTTTTACAGGACAACCTCTCTAATACCGCCTGTTATATGTTACTTGTTCCAGAAAGCTGTAAACCCTTCCTCTTTTAGCACAGTGACTGACTTCAGTGTGGCAGCTGCATTGAACCCTTAATGACTTTTTGTGATCTGAGGCACCATAATGAGAGAACACACAAATACATTCATAGAATAATTACCATTATTTTTCTTCCTTTAAACTCCAGAATAATGCATGACCTTCCCACTTCTTGGCCAGCACCTCTGCAAAAAGACATCAAAGTCATCAAAACTAAACCAACCCACACCATATGGATGCAACTATATATTGGATGTGTTCAGTGGGATTATTTTTCTGTGTAGAAATAACAACCTTTTAAGCTGAAACACTTAAAGTAGCAGAACAGTTATATTTATCTCTATGGAAATGAGGCCCTATTTAATGCAGGAGAAATACAAAGAATAGTTGGGGAAATTATTTTGGTCTCTTCAGTCTTTTACTGCATGCTTGCACACTCGAGTCTCAAAGTATTGAGATGTATAAGGAATGGGAAGCTTACTGAACAAATTATGTTGGGGTGAATAAGCTTTAAGAAGCTGAAACACCTGCAAATTGCATTGGCATCCTCAACAGAGAAAAGCAAATCAACCTGAAGTACTACAAGACCCACAGTGCCGTCGAAGTGCAAAGGTAAAACAGAAACGTTTTACTCAAACAGCACTTCAGTAGCGCACAGGAAAAAGTCAAGATCCTTCCACCTGAGCATGACGGCCCTCCCAGGGACGGAAAGAGGAAGACAGCCCGGGATTTCAACACCCCAAATACCGTTTCTCCCGGGCCGCCTAGGCCACGCTCCCGCCCCACCGGTTGCGATGACACAACCGAGCCCCAGGGGAAGCGCTGGGCTGGAGCCCGGGCCCGCGCCCACCTCACAAGTCGGGCTCCACCCCTAACCCCGGGCTGGCCGCAGCCCCGGCGCCCTACCGACACCCCCTGCCCAAGCCCAACGCGCGGGTCCCGCCGCTGCGCCCGCCCCGGGCGCTCACAGGGGCCGGATGAGCAGCTGATCGCTCTCTTCCGCCGGGATCATCGCCTCGGCTTTCCGCTTGGCGGACATGATGCCCTGAGCCCCGGAGGCACCCGCGCGGACCCCTCCGCAAGCCCCCCTGCCTTCCGCTCCCTCTCGGTTTCCTCTTCCTCTCGTCTTCCGCTTCCTGTCCTCAGAGCTTTGCGCGCATGCGGGGTAGGGCGACCCGGAAGTGGCAGGACGAGAGGGGATTGCGGGCTGAGGTGAGGGGCGGTGGCGAGCCGGGTATGAGGTCCCGGTAGCGGTGCCTCCCTGAAGGCGGGAGGGCCGGGGAAGAGGCTGAGGGGACGAGCGGGCAATGGGCTTTCGGTGCCGCCCGCTATGGCAGGGGCCGCGCTCCTTCCTGCCTTCCCCCGGCGGCGGCGCCGGGAACTTTGCCTCTCGCCTGTCTATAGGCAGCGGGTTTGTCCTTTCTTAATTTGTCAGATTATCATGTGGGGCTGCAGGTAGAAACAGGGAGGAGATAAGCAAAACGCAGGTGCGGTGCAGAGCTGAGCCGGAGCAGGACTCGATGCGCCCCGCGCCGGATGCGTGTGCTGATCAAGGAGCTGCTAAGAGCTCCTTAGTCAGCTAATGTGTTAAAGGAGCTTCTGAAGTAGCTTATGTTAAGTTGTGCCATCCTCGGAGGCCGCAGGCAGACTTGGGAGATGTGCCTGTGCTGCTCTGCAGAAAGGGCTGCTCCATCTGTGCTGGGGACTTGAAGGAGCCTAGGGGACGTGGCTGTGCTGGGTACCCAGGCTTCTTGCTGGGTGGCTTTTGGTCTGCTAGGGACCCAGTGTTTGCTTAATGGCTAACACAGCAGCAGGCTGGGGGCTGTAATCCATCACTGCATCTCAGATCTCAGCTCCACCTTGTATGTCTTCCATACTTCCGGCCTTATGAACAGTGCTCAGGCTGTGCTACTCCTGTGTGCTCTTTCTTCCACCTGCTCAGAATCTCTGAGAGCTTTGTAATTACAATATTCTTCCCTGAAGCTGGGAAATGGGGTTTCAGCACTCCCAGAGAGGGAGTCAAGTGTCCTGCTTCTCGACACTGTCTGGCCAAATACTATGTGAAGCAGTTGAAGTAGTTGGGTAGACACAGGAAAAATGCTTTGGGAATACTCTCAGAACTCCCTGTAACTCTGTTCTGATGCTGCTTGCTTTAATTTTCAGGAACATGTTAAGTAACAATGGCTGCTCTTAGAAGTGTTACAGTCAGTAGTTCTTCAGAATTGGGGTTGTTTGGTTCGTTGGTTTTATTTTTAATGGGAGCATAATCCTTGGAGCAGGGATTGCATTGGATGGACTTTGTAGGGCACTTTGATTGTAGTTACAAATAAAACTAATCTCATGCTTTTTAAGTGGGAATATAAATTTTAAATTTTGTCTTGTTTCTAAATACATGTTTCTGTGCATTAGAAACTGACATTTGCCACAGTCTGTAACTTAAGGAGCAGCAATTTTTGATGGATAAGGACAGGGATGTTTTAGCAGAGAGCTGGAGGGACTTTCACAGTCACACATGAAGAGCAGCAGAGGAACATCCTACTTCCATCTTCAGAGTTCTTTACAAGTTTCCAGTTTCTGTCCACTGTGGACACAGTCACTCTGGTGCTTGCCGGGAACTCTTTCCCTTGATGCTCTGACAGCTTTAATTTTTATTTTTCCTTCCTAGAAGATATTCCTTGATCCAATTATGAAAAAATGTTCAGAAAAGGAAAAAAACGGCACAGCAGCAGCAGCTCCCAGAGCAGCGAGATCAGCACTAAGAGCAAGGTAAGCTGAATGTGGTATATACTCTGCTACGGAAGCACTTCTGCCGACAGTTCAGTGCTTTGCTGTTCCGAACAGGGAGAACTCGGTACTTTTGATGCTCCTCAGATTGTGTTATGAGAGTTAAAACCTCCTATCCATTACAAAGCCCTTGTATTCTGAGATGAATGCTGGAAGGCCCACAGACACAGGAGTTTGTAGCAGCACATAGTAAGGTTTGGAGGAAAAAGTAGTGATAAATATTGTCTTTAAGAAGGTGCCTGGTACTACGTACCAAGAATGAGTTTGTTCTACAGTACTAGTTGGTTACTCGGTATCTCTAAAAGTATTCTTTTTGAATAATGTGTCCATTTTGTCTGATAGGTTTTGGAATGATCAGTTGAATATTCTGGATTTTCCAAGGTGCCGTTTCACTTCCCTTGCACTGCTATGTTATTTCAAGCATTGGTGACAAGCATGTAGTTGTCAATTCCTTCAAGTTAAGATGCAGTACCAGAAAAGTCTGGACATAACCTGAAGGTTCATTTTCTCTTTTTCTTTTATTTCCTTCTCTTTTCAAAATACATGTGGACTTCTGAAGGGTTCCTGCTGAATTTGTATCAGTCTTGATTTATGTTAAGGCAGAAGGATAAGTGCAGGAAAGAAATAGGCGTTGTTTTTTTCTCCCCATTTTGCAGTGCTACTTAAGTAACTAGACCATGAATACTAGCTTATTTAAAAGAAAGAGTTGAGGCAGGTATCTAACACCAGATGTTAATATGTTCTTAGTAACTTTCTGATGATATTAATGTTTTTTCTTAGTCTGTAGATTCCAGTCTTGGGGGACTTTCCAGGTCTAGTACTGTGGCTAGTCTAGATACAGACTCCACAAAAAGTTCAGGTATGTAATCAGAGTTTGAGCAGATATGTATGGAGCAGGATTAATTTTATGTGTGTTTGTATAAAAGAGCAGAGAAAAAGGAAAAGGTTAAAATACGCATTTTTACTAATTGTGAGTGAATCCGTTAGCCTATTGACTAATGTGTGCATAGCTCTAGACTTTCAAAGTATTATTAATGATTCATGTAGGATTAAGTCACTTTTTTGGTAAAGTGTCTGAGTAAGAGAAACTTAATTGCATTACTAGTCTGTTACACAGGATAAATCTGGTATAACTTTTTGGAAGTTGTGTTTCCTGCTTTTAAAAGTTTACACTGGGACAAAAATAATGGAAATGAGATTTGATTTTACTGGTTCTTGCTTACCAGGTGTCCTGGTTTCTTCCTAGTAGCTGGTACCACATCAGATCACAGTGCATCACTGTTGAACAGAGCAGTTTATTTAAAACAAATGATAGTGAACATTAGAACCAACTTCTATGTTTTCTCATTCAATTTGAATGAGTATAAACAGTGCTGTATCATGGATCCATTTGAAACTATGGACTTTACCATGGGCCAGGACAGTTCATTAGGAGAGTTAACATACTGGGGGGGGGGGTGTTAAGTGTTCGATGAAAGTCTGCAAAATGATGGAATTTACTAGGTTAGCCCTGTTAACACCCATTAAAATAGCATTGCTGTTCTCTAATTCTTCAGAATTGCTTTGCTTTATTTTGTTGCAGGACAAAGCAATAGTAATTCTGATACATGTGCAGAATTCAGAGTTAAATATGTTGGTGCCATTGAAAAACTGAAATATAATGAGAGCAAAAGTCTTGAGGGGCCACTGGACTTGATAAATTACATAGATGTTGCACAGGTAAGTGGGTTATAAAAGGCAATACCAATAGTGTCAGAACATCTTAAGCTCAGGTGTATTTCTTTCGTATTATCATGTGATGTGACATTTTTCTGTGTAAATTTTAGACTTACTACAGTAAAGCAGATTACTTTAGAAAACATTAAGCTGTCAATCTCAAAAGCTGCTACACTCACTTCCATCTTAGTGGTTACCTGGAGAAATTGCACCCAGAGAGCTGTTCCGAAGAAGCAGGCTCAGAGCAAAGGCTGTTCCATGAGTCATTACTGAACAAGTATCCCAACTGGAAGTTGCTATACTATCTTCAGCACCATTAGGACTAGTATCCATGAAAGAATTATCTCCTCCGGATGTCAGTACTGTAGTTTTCCTGTAGAGGAAAATGTCATTTTTGATTACAGCTACTTACGAACCTCTGACCAAAGAATCTGAATAATATTTAGGTCATCCTGGCCATACTGTGGTTCCTTGTACTTATTTTTGTACTCAAAGGCATAACTCGTTCTTCTCATTAGATAGCTGATCATTTGTATCTTTAAAATCACAGAATATGTTTATCTTTCAGCACCTTGACATTTCAAGTATCTGAATATATGCTAAAACTATTTTTGCAGCCAGATAACAATATTGCTGCCAGTGTGGAACATAGGTCACCCAGCACAGCATGATAGAGCATGCATTATTTTTAACCCCATCAGATTTGACCGCAGGGCCAAACTTCCCCGAGATGCTTTCTTTTCAGAATCATGGACTATTTAGAACAGAATAGAGCAGTTCCAGTTGGAAGGGACTCACAGTGATCATCTGGTCCAGCTGTGTGACTACCTTAGGGCTAACTAGGAGTTAAAACGTTGTTAAGGGCATTGTCCAAATGCCTTTTAAACACTGACCAGCTTGGGGCCTTGACCACCTTTCTAGGAAGCCTGTTCCAGTGCTCGACCACCCTCTCAGTAAACAGATGCTTCCTCATGCAAAGTCTAAACATCTCCTGAGTATATTTCACATAAGGTTAAGAGATTGGACAAGTGATGAGTGGCAGGCAGGCTCCACACAGGAAGACAGGAACAGGGCTAGTGATGTTGATGATTTGACTGAAGGACACATAAACACATTTTCTGTTACGTATCTTCATTGTTCATGTTCTTCTGTCTGCACTAAAGGCTTTTGTTTGTTTCCCTCCAAAGCAAGATGGAAAGTTACCTTTTGTTCCAGGTGAAGAGGAGTTTATTATGGGAGTTTCCAAATACGGCATTAAAGTTTCAACATCTGATCAATATGTAAGTGATTCGCAACAAACTGTCTTTTTGGTGAGAGTTGGGAAGTGCATTGATTTATTTCTGTGATAGGTGATCTATTTAAGCAAACAAACAGTCCCTCACAGCAGCACTGCATCATCTCAGTTCTCCTCAGAACTCTCTGTATTTTCCTGGTTGGATTTATGACAGAAAAACATTCCTTTTGAGATAGAACACCAGACATAAGGCAAGCAAGGCTTTATGCTCTTTGGGCACATCTTCCTTTCTCTGTGACTGTCCTGCCATTCTCTCACATGGAAAGGTAGCACAGCTGTGGTGTCCCAGACCGTGGGTTCCTCAGCCTGTTAGGAATGCAACTCCTGTTGGTGTTAGTGTGGAGAGGAAAAAACAAAGGTGTTTTTTTGGTTTTGGGTTTTTTTCCCCAAAAAATATCAGTTATTTTCCTCTTTAAAGTCCCAGCCTTGCACTCCTAATCCAAGAGTGTGAGTTCACTCTAGCATTAAAGCCTCATGATTCCACTTTATTGATCAAGCCTATGTTTTGTTTGCATCATTTCCAACATGTTTATTTTCCTTTAGCACACTTCAAGTAGCTTTTAGGCTAAAAATAAAAATGCGGTCTCTTCCCCAGGGCCCTCCAGTTGCCTCTGTGTAGCTTTGTATTGCAGCCATGTGGTTTCCTTCTGGTTGTCCTCAAGAGTCCTAGATACCACAGATACTTGGCCTTATGAAGTCATGACCCATCAACAAGCCAGCAATGCCTGTTCATAAAGGCCTTGAGTATGAGGAAGGTGAACAGCATCGCTCAACAGCTGAATACTCTGAAGCAAAATGTTTCTTTTGGTCCCTTAAGAAAATAGAACACTTGCTTCTAATGCCTGGTAGGAAAAGTAGTAATTGTTACTCAAACCTGGAATTATTTTGGATTGTTTTTGCTGCCCTCCCAAATTCTTCTCATCAAGAACATAGGTTATGCTGTTATTTAAATTCCTTTTTACTCTGATAAAGATCAAATAGGTAATTTTAAAACTTTTATCCATCATTCTTCCATCTTCAAGCTGTAAGCATGCCCAAGCTGATAAAGTCATCTGTGATTAAGCTAGCTTGCACTGGCATTTTATTGCATTGCATACCGTTTCCCAAATTCTGTTTTTTTGCATCTGTGTCACTGTTGACATTTGGTTTGTTCTTTAGTGTGTTAGTCCACTTGAGTTCTAAGGTCGAAAGGTTTTCTCTGCCTTCATACAAAGAGCTCAGTCTTTTATGACTTAGGGGAAAGGTAAGAGTTCTGTGATGTGTAGATGCCTTTGCAGGTAAATAGGCAGCTCTTTATTTCAGATGCCAAAGAGAATTAGCTGCAGGATACAACATTTTTCTTCATGGATTTCAGTGGTTTGAAAAATTATTCATTAGTGACTGAAATATATAGAGATATGTAATTTACTGATTTGTATTGTTTAGGGATGCAACCATTAGAAACCAAAGGCAAAGCATTTATAGGAGTCACACTGAGGCTTTGGTATTCTTCTCATTATGTATATTTGTATATTATATGTATGTATGCACATGTAGGGCACGGTTTTTCCATCTACCATCTCATTTCTCTTATCAGCTGCAGAACCCCTCATAGCCAAATAGCGGAAGGAGAAAATGGATTTACAGGGGAATTGTGTCCTTTAAAGAATTCTTTCAGTGATAATCCACACATAACATTAACACTGTAAAGTTCCAAGCAAGTAACTAAAATGTTACACCTGATTTGGAGGGAAAACTTGGGATCTTTAACAGGGAGACTGGAGGGTTGCTCCAGTAAGCCAGAACTTACTGGCTTCAGCTGTCCTCAGCATGCTGTGATGGAATGTCAGGAATGGAGATGTTTTTCAGCAAGGTGCTCTTAGAAGCACTGATAGAGGGTTCTTCTCAAGGGTTTCATAGCAGGTGTCAAGCTCACTGTCTTGTTTTTATAGCACCTGTATCAAGAGTGGATGTTTCTTTAGACCCTTCGGCTAGTGATAGGACGAAGGTGTTTCATGCCATCAACATACAAAAAGAGCTGTCTTGAAGTTGTAAGACCCTGGAGGTGGTATGACTGGAATAAACCAAATTAGTATTACCAGTTGGGTAGATGGCTTGAGAAGAAAGACTTTGTGTGTGTTAGATCTGCAGAGACCTTGCACATAAACCCATCCTTTCTTGGAAGGATCAAGATTAGAACTGTTGGGGCTGGTGTGAAACCCTGCATCTGTATCAGAGAGGTCTCTCGGATGAGATCTCTGCAAGAGCCAGGGCCCATGCTGTGGCTCAGGCCACACCACCCTCCTAAAGCAACTAACCTTGTCTCTGGTACCCTTGCCAGAACTGGGGCAGGGGCTTGTCCGGAAAAGGATTGGAAAAGTAAAAAGTTGTTTTACGTTGCATCTGTGCGAGAGGTACAGAGCCTTCTGCTTGTCCTGCTCACACAGGATGAGTGAGGATAGGTGGGAAATGAATGTGTCCACCTATGAATGCAATTCTAAAATAGAAGCAAAAATTAAAGCTAAAATTGCATTAAATCCCCATTCTTTTATATCTCAACTAAACTCTTATTTAAAACGTTGTAAGCTTACCAAGGAATGTTTTTTTCTCCTGTGAGTAAATCCAAAGTATTCTGTTGTGAGAGAGAGTATCAAAACAGCTGGAAAACTCAAAAAGCTGTTGCACTGTTCCAGAGTAACTTTTATCTGCCATGTGGTTTCAGGATGTGTTACATAGGCATGCTCTCTATTTAATTGTACGGATGGTGTGCTACGATGATGGTCTGGGAGCAGGAAAAAGTTTACTGGCTTTGAAGACAACAGATGCAGCCTCTGAAGAATGCAGCCTCTGGGTATATCAGTGCAATAGTTTGGTAAGACTTTATGTTTACAGTATTTAGGTATCGGTATTCGGATTGAAAAGGGAGATTCTAAAACCCAAGGTCCTTGGTGAAGGCTTTTTGGCAAAAGTGGGATTGCTCAGTTAAAAAAAAAAACAAACAAGTTCTCAATATGCCCTGCCTGAGTTGGGGGGAATTTGCTGACTGCATTTGAGCAGCTTAGAGGGAAAATACCCGCAGTCCCTAAAATTGCCAGTGAATGTACAGGCTGAGAAAGTTCTCTGCAATCTGAAGAGTGCTACTGTAGCTGCTAAGGACAATTCTCCATTTGTATTTTCAAAGACAAAAACCTCTTAAGATGGGACTGAGCAGGGAGTGATCGAGTAACAAGTCTAGAAATAGAGTGTGCATTCCTATTTACAAGCAAGGGAAGTGATCCCTTCTTAAGAGTAGGAGAATGCCTTGTCAAGAGGCTATGCTATGACGCATACTCCCCCCCTCCAGCACTGGGGGAACACACAGACTGACTTTCTGAATGCTAGCATCCTGCTGTGAGGAAAGCTCATTACTCTGACTTACTTCAAAAGAGCTCATTTAAAACAGCTTCCCACATGTCATTGCAGACCACAGAAATCAGATTAAATCTCACTTGTGCTGCTCCATTTTGCATGTCTGCCAAAAGAATGATAAAGGCCACATTCTCCTGTTTTGAGACATTCAGATGTTCTTCAGAAAGTGTTAATGGGTGTGTTTGGGTGGGGTCTTTTGGGGTTTTTTTCAGGAACAAGCACAAGCTATTTGCAAAGTGTTATCTACAGCCTTTGATTCAGTTTTAATGTCAGAGAAGTCCTGATGTTCTTCAGCAGCACATGATGGTGTAGCACAAGAGGCCTTTGTGTGGGGAGGAAATGGGGCTCCTTCGTGACACCACAGACTGGCTGCAGCTACACAGTCCCAGAAAAGACTCCCTGTGCGAACAAGAGCCATGCAAACTTGCACACGGTACTCTTGTCATTCCTCAAACATAACTTGAAGAAATCATTCCACCTTCAGTTGCCAGGACAAGACAGGATTTTGTATTTAACATGGTATTGTCCCCTTAATAATATTTTGTATATTAATGTCGATATTGTAGAAATGTAAAATAAAACTGACACTTGTATCTCTTTGTCTGAAAAACATTTTGTTAGACTTCAGTTCTGCTTAACCCAGATACTAGAACAAAACAAGAACAAAGTCATTTGGTACTTCAAACCTCTTAATTTCACCTAAGGTCTGCTCCCTGCACAGTTCCTACATTCAACTAAAATTCGTAAGATGTAATTTTGCTGTTCAAGTGCTGTTTGTATTTCCCATTTGATACCTTGAGAAAAGCTATTTCCTAAGCAAAGCACAGTAATAGAAGGGAAGTAGCCGAAGTGATTTTAAAAGTAGTTTTATTTTTCCAGACATTTGACTGGTTAACAATAGTAAAATTTATTAATCATGCTCTAATTATAAATCACTGCATCCAGGACGTTGAAAATAAGAGTTGATTTTAGGTTATACAATATATACAGTTGCTCTGCAACTAAACAAAATAAAAACAACTGAATTGAATATTATACATCTCATAGCACTCTAAGCTGCATTTTAAGTGTCACTTGCTCCTTTTTAAACAGTTAACACAGCAACCTAATAGTCTGTCTATTAACAGATTTTTTCAGTCATTATTTTAATCAGATTTGAAAAGCTGTATGAAATATGCCAAAATCTTGGACTTAGAATTCTTAATTTTATATTATAAATAGATATCTACAGGCTCTAGAATTTCTTTTTCTCTGCCAGAGGAGCAAACTTTGAGAAACATGGAAAATCTAGGGATAAATTTTGCTTAGCTGCTCTTTATTGGTCCGCCAGGTTTTATCTGTCCGCACTATTAGTGCTATTAAGTTGTAGTCTAGAAGTTTCCTAGTTTCAGTGAACACGGTGGTGACATTTTGAAGTGTATTCCTCTTCCAGGAATATTCCTTTTCCTAGGAACTCCAGGAAAATTTGCATCATTGTTTAACTTGACAAGTTGTTACATACACTATAAGATTCTGTGTTAAAAATACTGTACATTAGGAGATCTGTGCAAAATAATATGCCCATTTACTCTCTAGACTCTATCAGGGATAGAAACATACAAAATAGTGTTGCAAACTGAACGTAGCAGGAAGTGGGTAAAACTGTAGTGCTAAACTATTCCTCTATCATTTTACTGGGAACTTCGAAAATACAGACTAATTTGCTTCAACTTGCAACAAAAATATCCTGAAACATTCCAGTTTGTTCCCCATTTACACTGCAGCAACAGCTCTTGGAAAGGGAAGTTATGCATATATGCGGCTGTACCCACACATGTGAGAGGCTCTTGCCCAACTGTACCCTTCAGGAAAGGTGATACAAGGTAAGATCAGTGTTGCTCTTCCAGCACGAGCGCAACAGGATTGTTCCCCAAACAAGCATGGATGGTGGTGGCCTATTTTCCACTGTTCAGTATGCAATGGCCAATTTCAATACCGTCTGCCAGAAATTCAAAGTTCTCTTGATCAATATACAGATTAAATATTCACAGAACATGATGGACCCAGAGGCTGGCTTTTCTTGTCCTATGCCACCAGTTGTCCCCTGTAGTGTAAGCAAAACCCGGCACAATTTCCAAGATAGAAACATCAAAGTGACATCAGATGTGTGCTGGTGTTTTGTATTCCATCAGCTGACTGAGAACTCTCCATGGCCTAGCCTTGGTTTACAAATTAGTAAAAAAAAAAATTTAACAACAGTGTAGCTACCATATAGGTGGGTATATTATATAAACACAGAGTGAGTTAGCAAACCAGCACTGTTTGCAAGGTAGTGGCACACAAATCGCATAAACCCGAAGATAATGTAGTGTACTTGTGAGGTGTCCGATACCTCCTTGAACAAGGGTAAGTGTTCCACCAAATATGTTCCCTCTGTGAACACACTGCTGGATGAGTTAAGAAAATTCAAGAATTCAAAAACAAAGTCCCAACACTATAATGAGACGAGTGTAAGAAAAGCTCTGCAATCCATCATCAAGGTAAAGTACATTTCAGGAAGTGCAGTTTTCCTATCCGTGAGTTAATGTAGTAACTCGCTAATATTGCCATAGTTTATAGTTAACCAGCAGTAATCACACTAAGTGACCAAAATGGATGTAACGTACATAAAGAACATTCAGAAAACAGGTTCTACTCACGTGCAGCATAGTAAAATGAAACAGTCTCAAGCTCACAAAATTAGAACTAGGAAGTTCAGCGACTAACACAGAGTTCAGGTAACTTGAAGCAAATATCTACATCCATTCTGAAAGAAAGAAGTTTTTCCTGTGGTAAACTGAAATACGTTTTTACTTTTACCTGGCCAAAGACACCCAATTGAAATTGTTTCTTCAGTAACTGTTGATATCCTGGATGACAGCCAGTATGGCAAGATGCTGTGCGAGTCCCATTTAGAATTACACAGCAGCTTGCATATTTTGGTTCCAACACTTCAAATGGTATTAAGAATTGGATAAATTCACTGCCCTATTAGAGGCACCCTTTCTTTGACTGGGGAAGCAACACTGAACCATGGTATTGTCATGTTAGAAAACAGAGAATAAAATTACAGTGAATTGATTGAAGAGAACATTCATTATGTTGTGATGCTCACACACTTACATGGATATTGATTGTTAAAGCTTTTCAGTTCACCTTGAAAAATACAGGAAGAGTTGTTTTTCGTAAAGTGTAAACTGCTCATGAGAGATTTTCACATAGAAAAAAGTTCTAAAAGTCCCAAAACCAGACCGATGGCAATAAAAAAAGTAAGCTGCAGTACCTAAGACTTGGGCAGTGCTCTGGCAAGGTGTCTGCAGATAGGTAGATGAAATGAAATAGAGCAAAACTTGTTCCTGTGACTGCTGGAAATGAGAAATGTCTCCACTTATCAGTAGCAATTTAATCAACAATAAAGTGCACAAATGATACAGGGAAAGCTCCTTTCCGACTGGGATCTCCATCAATATGACCAATCTGAAAGAGTCCAGATATTTTTCAAGTTAGTCTCAAAATGGCATTTCAGTACCACCAAGGTGAAGTCCAGTGACCTTCCTGCCTGTAGCACGACAAGCCTCTCCCTGCATTATTTCTGCTGTAGTGGTGTGTTTCTTTTGCAAACAGGAAAATTCTGTCCTACAGATTGCATTTGTTTCTCAGCTACAGACATTTCCTTTCCCCCAAATTCAAATCTTTTATTCAGTTCTCTGAAAGTAACACCTCTTAATGCAGTACACCACTGCTGCATCGTGTCAGCGCATTCTGTAATGCTTCACAACCCACAGTCTGCCTCTGTTAAGTTGCTTCTGCTTCCCCCTCTTAGCAATCACTGAAAGGTAAAAGGATGGATCAAGCTTCAATAGTTTTATATTTTACATTTGTCTATTTGTGTTTACACAGCACTACTGTCAATTTAAATGCAATCTGAAGATCTCTTCTTCACTAGCTACAAGAGTAAGGCAAGTGTTTTCATGCAAAACAATTTCCCAAGACTTGACTTTAGCTGATGAGACTGGAATGTAAATACTTGAGACGGTTTTCCAGCTCAAAGAGACCATTTCTCAGTCTCACTCTGCTGAAGAACTAGGACAGCACAAAGCTGTCTTCTAAGGCCCTCCGCACAGCATTTGTAGGAGCATCAGATTCTTAAACTGCTGACCCCCCCTCAAAAATTTCCCGAATCCCCTGTGTATTGTGAACCCCACTAATACTGATCAGATTTTCTGAATGAGAAAAGCTAAAAAAAAAACACCAACCTTGTCTGAAGTTTGATTTGTTTTTTTTAACAGAGGAAATTTCTGAAATTACGTTTCCATGGGATGAAACTTTTCTTGTTACTTGGAAACCCAGTGGGGAATACTCTGAAGTCAGTGTCAGCCTCTAGGTTTCATTTACTTCTTTCAAAGTGTGTTATAGAATATAAAGAATACTCACCCACCACTCCTGGTCTTCTTCACCATCAACCACAATAATATCTCCCTCTGAAAAAGTTAGCTCATCTGGGTTATCTGCTACACAGTTGTAAATTGCTTTTACTCTTTTGGGTTTAGTTTTTGACTGAAATATAAAAATAAGCAGGTGTAAATAATACAGCACAAAAGATACAGAACAGACTTGGAATTGATCTAAAGAAAGCCTCAGAACTGCTTCCAACCATTATTTTTGATAGGTTAGAGTTCAGCTACATGTTTTGTGCTGGGGTGCTCATGTTTCAGGCTGAATTTGGCAGCATCCAAAGCCTCTTGGAACCACTGCACCACCATCGTGGTCCAGGTTTCCCTCAGCAGTCTTCCATTTTTGCTCATCCAAACCTGTCTTCAGAGCTCTACATCACTGCAGTGAGTACGGTTTTATTCAGAAGACAGGGTGATCAAGTGCTACACAGCAAGTGTAACAGCAGTTGCATTATCAGAAAGAAGCCTAAGCCATCTGCTGATATGCTCCCTCTTAATTTGCTAATCTCATTTCAGCAGCGTATAAACCCTCTGAACCATTCTCTGTCTCTGTGATGCTTTGCTTTGAGGACTGCAAGCCACAGGAGTGGTTCCGCAGCTCTTCCAACAGGAAAGTTTAGTAAGGAGATGCAGTATTCCAGTACTGCAGTGACACTCCAATCCTAGTTGTATTCTGTTTGAAATGTTCTATGATGAAATTGTTTTGCTCTGCTATCACTGCATCCACCATCCTAACCTCATACCTCTCCCAGTGCAACCCAGCCTGCTGCTGCATTTGTTTTCAGCCTTCTCATTCTGTTTCAGACCAACAATAACAGTACCCACACAGTGTTTCCACATGAGGACCAAAAAGGCACAGGACCTGGAGGCAGAGAATTAGCTTTCTACCACAAGTCTACCCTTTTCCCTATTTGCCCAGCTGTAGCCAGCAACAATCTATCCTTTCTACCCTAAGATGCCAGAGCAGAGCTTTAAGTGCTATTAGGTCCAGAGCCATCTGTTAATACAGTGGGTGTCTGGGGCAGAGGCTCCAGACGGGATAAGGAAATGAAGGCAATGAAAGCCTCATCACCATCCTGGAGTCCCCCAGAGACTGGCTGGAGCTTCTAGTTAGGTCAGCC